ATAAATGATATTTTAAAAGAAGGTATAAACCCTAATTTTTCCATACAGAAACAATACGCACACTTGAAACAACGAATAGCAATTTTGAAACAAGGAATTTGTAGATATACAATGTACTAAATCACCTAAATATACTATAAAACAACCTAGTATAGATCTAGTAACAAATAAATGATATTTTAAAAGAAGGTATAAGTCCTAATTTTTCCACACAGAAACAATGCGCAATTAAAACAACTAATAACAAAGAAAAAATAGTACAAATGTGATATTGTACTGGGATAAGTTGCATAAATTATTAAAAAGTTGCACGATAAGAAGATGTCTTTTTTCATAATAACAAAGAGTTTGTAGCCATACAATGCACTAAATCGACTAAATACACTATAAAACAGTCTAGTATAGGTCTAGCAACAAATAAATGGTATTTTAAAAAGAGGTATAAGCCCTAATTTTTGGCCACAGAAACAATTCGGCCAAACAGGTATTCAGCATGTTAAGTATTCCCTTAGAAAAAGGACATGACAGGAGGTCTCGCTCGTCGATGTCAACTTTGACCTCGGGGTCACCCACGTTGTTGTTGCCCCTCCAGCATTGATCCTCTCTGACACAGGAATGTTCTCTATGTAATTTATAAAGTATATGCAATTAAGTCTTATTGCGCATAGAATTCATTTAACACAAAAAAAACTTTGAAGAGCCTCAGATGTCTCCGTGCATCTCCATCACAGCAGTCGCAATGCCCTCTATCTTGGGTGTGTAAAGCTGCTGTTCTGGGTCAATTTTTTGTTGTTGTTGTCGTGTCCAATGAAGAACCTCAGATGTCTCCGTGCAACTCTATCACAGAAGTCGCAATTTTCTCTATCTTGGGTATATGAAGCTGCTGTTCTGGGTACATGTCAATTTTCTGTTATTGTTGTCTTGTCCAATGAAGAGCCTCAGATGTCTCCGTACATCTCTATCACAGCAGTCGCTTTGTCCTTTATCTTGGGTGTGTAAAGCTGCTGTTCTGGGTACATGTCAATTTTCTGTTGTTGTTGTCGTGTCCAATGAAGAACCTCAGATATCTCCATGCATCTCTGTCACAGCAGTCGCAATGTCCTCTATCTGGAAAATAGGTTCCGTTGCCACGTTAGTCACCTTGGACCAGAATTTAGTCAAATATTCTAAGGATCAAGGGAGACAGCAGGGAGATGTAGTTTTATTAAGACCTGTTGGTCTTATGCAGATTCTCCGCATAGAACAGTAATAATAACAATAATGTTACTTACAATGTATCAAATAAGGGGGAAAGAATAAAGAAAGGGCTTGACATAAACTTATATACAAGCAGTCGAGAACAAGCAGTTCTTTTTCTTAAAGAACAATAATTAGTGGTATTAACAGAAATTTATATCAGTACAAGTAAACAAGGAATATACAATATACTACCAGACATCTATACAGCAGTTTTATACATGGATGGGTAGAGGGTTGTCTATAGTCAGAATATAAAGTCTTAATTAATTAGTTCATTCACCCAGTTGTTCAGTAGAAACCACGATGTCGTTTATCTTTACATTGAAGAACTTGATATCTTTGCAAAAGCAGTAATTTCATTTTAAAAAAGTATATTTTTAAGATATTTGTTATTTAAGATATATAATTGTTAACGGAGCATATATGGCATTCTTTTATTTCTAAAAAGATTTAACGAAGCTTTAATTTCAGAAAAAAAAAATAAATAAAGAAAATTATGTCAGATATTTCCATATGTATATAATTGTTGACGAAGCCATTCTTGAATCCCTAAAAATACTTCACGATACACCTACCCATATATTTTCATGCCCAGCAATGGCCGCAGCCTTGCAGAAATTTGACCAAGAACAGCAGCTTTACACACCCAAGATAGAAGACACTGCTGTGATAGAGATGCACGGGAACATCTGAGGTTCCACAACAACAACAGAAATTTGACCCAGAGCAACAGCTTTACACACCCAAGATAGAGAACATTGCTGTGATAGAGATGTACGGAGACATCTGTTCATTGGACACGACAACAACTACAGCAGAAAATTGACCCAGAACAGCAGCTTTATACATCCAAGATAGAGAACATTGCTGTGATAGAGATGCACGGGGACATCTGTTCATTGGACACAACAACAACAACAGCAGAAAATTGACCCAGAACAGCAGCTTTACACACCCAAGATAGAGAACATTGCTGTGGTAGAGATGTATGGAGACATCTGAGGCTCTTCATTGGACCCGACAACAACAACAGAAAATTGACTCAGAGCAGCAGCTTTACACACCCAAGATAGTGGACATTTCGACTGCTGTGATAGAGATGCACGGGGACATCTGTGTCTCTTCATTGGACACGACAACTACAACAGAAAATTGACTCAGAGCAGCAGCTTTACACACCCAAGATAGAGAACATTGCGACTGCTGTGATAGAGATGTACGGAGATATCTGAGATTCTTCATTGGACACGACAACAACAACAGAAAATTGACCCAGAGCAGCAGCTTTACACACCCAAGATAGAGAACATTGCTGTGATAGAGATGTACGGAGATATCTGTTCATTGGACACGACAATAACAACAGCAGAAAATTGACCCAGAACAGCAGCTTTACACACCCAAGATAGAGAACATTGCTGTGGTAGAGATGTATGGAGACATCTGAGGCTCTTCATTGGACACGACAGCAACAACAGAAAATTGACCCAGAGCAGCAGTTTTACACACCCAAGATAGAAGACACTGCTGTGATAGAGATGTACGGAAACATCTGTTCATTGGACACAACAACAACAACAACAGCAGAAAATTGACCCAGAACAGCAGCTTTACACACCCAAGATAGAGAACATTGCTGTGGTAGAGATGTATGGAGACATCTGAGGCTCTTCATTGGACACGACAGCAACAACAGAAAATTGACCCAGAACAGCAGCTTTACACACCCAAGATAGAGAACATTGCTGTGGTAGAGATGTATGGAGACATCTGAGGCTCTTCATTGGACACGACAACAACAACAGAAAATTGACCCAGAACAGCAGCTTTACACACCCAAGATAGAGAACATTGCTGTGGTAGAGATGTATGGAGACATCTGAGGCTCTTCATTGGACACGACAGCAACAACAGAAAATTGACCCAGAACAGCAGCTTTACACACCCAAGATAGAGAACATTGCTGTGGTAGAGATGTATGGAGACATCTGAGGCTCTTCATTGGACACGACAGCAACAACAGAAAATTGACCCAGAACAGCAGCTTTACACACCCAAGATAGAGAACATTGCTGTGATAGAGATGTACTGAGACATCTGTTCATTGGACACGACAACAACAGAAAATTGACCCAGAGCAGCTGCTTTACACACCCAAGATAGAGAACATTGCTGTGATAGAGATGTACGGAGACATCTGTTCATTGGACACAACAACAACAGAAAATTGACCCAGAGCAGCAGCTTTACACACCCAAGATAGAGAACATTGCTGTGATAGAGATGTACGGATACATCTGTTCATTGGACACGACAACAACAACAGAAAATTGACCCAGAACAGCAGCTTTACACACCCAAGATAGAGAACGACTGCTGTGATAGAGATGTACGGAGACATCTGTTCATTGGACACGACAACAACAACAGAAAATTGACCCAGAACAGCAGCTTTACACACCCAAGATAGAAAACATTGCGACTGCTGTGATAGAGATGTACGGTGGCATCTTAAGCTCTTTATTGGACACGACAACAACAACAGAAAATTGACCCAGAACAGCAGCTTTACACACCCAAGATAGAAAACATTGCGACTGCTGTGATAGAGATGTACGGTGGCATCTTAAGCTCTTTATTGGACACGACAACAACAGAAAATTGACCCAGAACAGCAGCTTTACACACCCAATATAGAGAACATTGCGACTGCTGTGATAGAGATGTATTGAGACATCTGAGGCTCTTCATTGGACACGACAACAACTTCACGGTACTGTAATTTCAGGAAAATAATCCATTTATCAAGTATTTCTCTCTATGTTCCTGGGTAGTATTCTACATATAGTCTAGGTCGCCGTGTGTAGCAAACGCCATTCTTATCTATTTGAACAAGACCTCCTCTTTTTTTTACTACCGAAAGTTTCTAACTGAACGTCACAAAGGCTTTTTTTCCCACAGAGGGCTTATCGGTAGAATCAAGAAAAGCGGAAGAAACAAACATAAACAAACATAAAAAAATCTTTTGTGAAAACAGAGACTTCCCAGCAGAATCTGTTTCTCGACAGGAGATAAAACTTTGTCAACAATGTCGCCAAATTTGTTCGTTATCTAGTGGGAAAGTTAAATACAGACGTCGGGATGCCATTGTTAGTTTTTTGACCGGGTCTTATTTGCATATTGGCATTATCTTCAACCACACGTCTGGATTATCGATTGACGAATTATCTCTGTGTCAATTTGAGCAATCTTCATTGAGAGAAGCTGGTTTAAAATTTTTGACCGAATGACCTAGGGCAATACTACCCGGGTCTATTCAAGTGTACAGAGATACATAGAAGGATAGTTATTCCTTTTTAAAATTTTATTGAGGGGGTTGGTGGAAAGATGCTCTAAACCGTTGGTTTTCGACTGCTACAACCCGGGTTCGATTCCCGCATTGGACATTTTTTTTCTGATTATATAAAAAAAATGCTCCAATGGCCCCCGATTCTTGCAAAAGTTCAACCCCACCAGCGAGTGCAAGTAACTAAACGGGGCTTTGACATATTTGTAAGTGCAAAGTCGAACTGCTTTTCACATGTGTAGACATGTGGTGCACTTACAGTAAAAGCAGTCGCCTACTTCTACCCACCATAATTATCATGGCCTGTACCACGTGTACTAAGGATTAGCAAAAAAAAAAAAAATTGAAGTTCTTTTATCTTCATCATCAAAAGAAACCTAAATACCACTCGCTCATCGACCAATAAAAAGGAAGTAATCTACAGCACATACTCGGTGTTTCTAGGTGGTCACCCTCCCAAGTACTGACCGGGTCCGACGTTGCTTAACTTCGGTGATCGGACGAGTATAGTTCAATCTATCCATCCCTGATAATTCTTTCACTTATCAACTTTGGCGTGTGTGTGATGGCGCCTCTCTGATGTTTGCCTCCACTATTTAACTTATAAGATAGATGTTGAGCCGTCCGATATTGCATCATTCAGGATACGATGAAAGAACAGCTATAACAGGCTCACATATATATATACGTTATTTTATTTGAGAAATTATATTTCATAGGTTCAAATACTCTGCTAAATCGACTGCCAAAGTTCACGCTTCCCCTATAAAAACTCATTGTTGTTGTTTTCCGATGGCCGGCTCAAATCTTTTGTACATTATGTAAATAAGTTTTTCATTTTTGATTCTTACGCCTTAAGCCAGGCAGTACTTTTATCAAATTATGTTTTTATATATATTATCTTTCTCCATTTTTTATTTCCCACTTTCATAGGTTTCTCCGTCTTGTAACCCCAAGGAGAATCCTCTGTAAGACCTGTGTGTCTTAATAAAGGTTTTTGTGTGTGTGCAAGTTTTTATATATATTCCTTCAGCTCAATTAAAGCAATTACTGATCTGAACTATTTTTAGTTATTATTGCCACGACTGCAGTGTCACATGCTCATCTCTTCTTCTTCTTTCTTATCTCCACTCAATCACACTAAGGTATCAAGCTTGTAAAGCTTGTTGATGGTGTCTGCCGGGGAAGAGTAGAACTCATCAATGGATGAGTCAAAACAGTCAATAATATGGTTGCCAGATATTCATGAATTTCGCGATCAAGTAAATGATCAATAAATCTATATAACCCTAATATTCAAAAATCAACAGAAAATCTCATTTTTTATAACATATATATGGTTTCTATATAATAAACTTGTAAGGTCGGTGGTCGAGTGGTGTAAACCGTCCATTTCAGATAGCGACGACCGAGGATCGAATCCCGTATTGGACACTTTTTTTCTGAATTAAAAAATGTATTCGAATGGTCCCTTCAAATCTTATAAAAGTCCAACTTCACCAGTGAGTGTAAGTAATCAAATAAGGCTCTGGTACATTTTTAAGTAAAAAATTCGAACTGCTTTTCAAGTGTGTAGATATGTGGTGTACTTTACAGAAGAAGAAGTCGCCAACTTCTACCTACCATGGTGGGCAGAGGGTTGAAACAGTTTGTACTGTTAATCCAAAAAAAAAAAAAAGACCTAATGAAACGTTTCGGTAACGCGATGCTGTTAGCGATCATCACACACTATTAAATTATTTGGATTAGGTCTTATATATTTTTTGGATCTATAATTTATCTATAATACAAATTGTGCTTTATCAGTTTGTACTGTAAGTACACCACATATTTACATATGTAGCAAAATACCATGGTGGAGAAGGGTTGTGATAGCAGTACATCACATGTCTACACATGTAGTACCAGGCCATGGTGGGTAGTGTCAGCTTGTACTGTAAGTACACCACATGTAGAACCATGGTAGGTTGTGACAGCTTGCACTGTAATCTATCTATGGAACAGCCACGTTCCACCAATCTACCAGAGGATACCAGAAGATGGCATACAGTACCACCACGCCTTCCCCTACGTCAGCAATTTACGCCACTCTGTAAATTTGGTAACAGATAGCGGCTTTATGGCTGGGAGATATGGCCTCGAGACACGTGCTCTTTTTTCTATCTCTCTCTCTCTCTCTCTCTCTCTTTTTTACATTCTCCCTATCCACACCGCGCAGAATCCCGATGTCTTGAGGCAATCCCATTTTGTACAAAAGGTCTCTCAAATTCCATTGAGGAGAGTGACTTCCTACAATGAAGAGACTGTTGACAGTGTCTGTGGGACAAACAGTGAAGAAGCATACTGAAATCTGACGCCTTTTTTAAACACTGATTGTTCTTTAAAATAATTTTACGACTATTTATATTCACAGATTGCTTTAAGAATCTTAAATTAGAATATGGGAAGGCATAACTCATCAGTCATGAACCCTCCCAACGGTTTCATCAGTTTTTTTTTTTTTTTTTGCATATCCCTAGTACACGTGGTACATGCCATGATAATCATGGTGGGTAGTTAGTGACTGCTTTTTACTGTAAGCGCATCACATGTCTACACATGTGAAAAGCAGTTCGACTTTTGTACTTACAAATATATCAGAGCCCCGGTTTGGTTACTTGCACTCGCTGGTGGGGTTGGACTTTTGTAAGAATCGGGGGCCATTGGAGCAATGTTTCATCAGATTAGTCTCCAGATATCGCTATAGCTGTAATTTTCTTTTGAAGTCTCAATAAAGGTCGTTGTTGTCATATAGAAGCAAGTTTAGATCATGTGTTGGCTGGAAGTGGTTTGGAAGACAACACAGCCACATCAACACCAATAGTTTATTTCAACTCCCGATATTTCAGTCAATTCCTTTCACTTCAGTGGAATGCTTATTTTGAAACCTACTTCTACTTAAATACATACACGATCACCAATTCTATCCTCCCAAGAGAACAACAATCTTTGATTTCCATACTTAAGTCTGATCATCTACGGACAATGACTTTCCAGAATGTTTGCAAGGTTTTCCCACTATGTACTAAGTGTCAACCTGCAACCCCAAGACATATTATTGACTGTATTGACTCATCCATTGATGAGCTCTACTCTTCCCCAGCAGACACCATCAACAAGCTTTACAAGCTTGATACCTTAGTGTGATTGAGTGGAGATAAGAAAGAAGAAGAAGACGTACACGATTTTCTAAATTACCTGTAAAACGTAAGGTATTTTTATAAAATCATACACACACAAAATCCTTTATTAGGGACTTACAGATTCTCCCAAAAAATTGGGCAAGGTAATAATCATCTTGTGTTATTTACATAGAAATTGAACTGGCTTTACTCTTCGTCTCAAAGTCATTCAATTGTTGACTGGTCCTTACATAATGATGGTCTAAAAATTTTATAATAAGCTATTGCATTAGATTTGTTTGCTGAGATTTTAAAGATTTCTTGAAAAAAGTCATGGTCCAACTGTGCTGTGTGAGCAGAAGAGCTTAAATTGACTTGTTCCATTATATGTATGTTCCATATGTAAATACCTGTTTTCTTTCCTCTTTTCGCTCTCCACTTCTTCCATCCATATTTCCAAATCCATATTCTTATTTTCCATAGGATCATTCAAATAATAATCTGTATATATTTATCATGTGTATATAATCTTTCTCCATTTTTATCCTTTTGCGTATTTCCCACTTTCAGACAATAACTCTAAAAGATACATTCATGGACAAAATTTAACGAAGTTGTACTTTTTAGCATGTATATCGGGATTCAGATAATAACTCTGAAAGATACACTCATGGACAAAACTTAAGGAAGTTGTACCTTTTAGCATGTATATAGGGATTCAGACAATAACTGAAAGATACACTCATGGACAAAACTTAAGGAAGTTGTACCTTTCAGCATGTATATCGGGATTCAGACAATAACTCTGAAAGATATTTAAGCTCTTCTGCTCACACAGCACAGGTGGACCATGACTTTTTTCAAGAAATCTTTAAAATCTCAGCAAACAAATCTAATGCAATAGCTTATTATAAATTTTTTAGATGATCATTATGTAAGGACCAGTCAACAAGTGAATGACTTTGAGACGAAGAGTAAAGCCAGTTCAATTTCTATGTAAATAACACAAGATGATTATTACCTTTCTCCTCTGTAAGACCTGTGTGTCTTAATAAAGGTTTTTATGTGTGTGTGTTTGCTGAGATTTTTGTATTTTATAAAATCGTTTATGTATATAGGTAGAAATAGGCTTCAAATAATCATTTCCTTGAGAAGAATGACAAGCAAGTCATTGAAATGTCCGGAATTAAATGAATAATTGGCTGAGGTAGCTATATAGAAGTGAGGTGATTTTACTATAGCGGTTGTATTTTGAATATCATCTTCATCATAAGCTCTTATGTCTATATAGGTTCCCCCTTCTCTTCTTCTTTCTTATCTCCACTCAATCACATTAAGGTATCAAGCTTGTAAAGCTTGTTGATGGTGTCTGCCGGGGAAGAGTAGAGCTCATCAATGGATGAGTCAATACAGTCAATAATATATCTTGGGGTTGCAGGTTGACACTTAGTACATAGTGAGAAAACCCTGCAACCATTCTGGGGAAAGTCATTATCCGTAGATGACCAGATTTAAGTCTGGAAATCAAAGACTGTTGTTCTCTTGGGTTCCCCCTAAACTCCCCTAATCTTCCTTCCTTAGTAAATACAGGGTAAATACACTCATGGACAAAACTTAAGGAAAGAGGAAAGTCTTTGATGTATCGCCGGTTGTTTATTTTTTTGAAGGGGAAAGAGGTTTTTAGTTCACACACTTAGTTATCTCGTATGTCTTCAATAAAGGTCACTGTAATATCTTTCAGAGTTATTGTCTGAATCCCGATATACATGCTAGAAGGTACAACTTCCTTAAGTTTTGTCTATGAGTGTATATTGGTTATCTCGTAGGTCTTCAATAAAGGTTACTGTAATATCTTTCAGAGTTATTGTCTGAATCCCGATATACATGCTGAAAGGTACAACTGCCTTAAGTTTTGTCCATGAATGTATATTTTAGAGTTATTGTCTGAATCCCGATATACACTCGAAAAGGTACAACTTCCTTAAGTTTTGTCCATGAGTGTATCTTTCAGAATTTTTGTCTGAATACCGATATACATGCTGAAAGGTACAACTTCGTTAAGTTTTGTCCATGAGTGTATCTTTTAGAGTTATTGTCTGAATCCTGATATACACTCGAAAAGGTACAACTTCCTTAAGTTTTGTCCTTGAGTGTATCTTTCAGAGTTATTGTCTGAATCCCGATATACATGCTAGAAGGTAAAACTTCCTTAAGTTTTGTCCATGAGTGTATCTTTCAGAGTTATTGTCTGAATCCCGATATACATGCTGAAAAGGTACAACTTCCTCAAGTTTTGTCCATGAGTGTATCTTTCAGAGTTATTGTCTGAATCCCGATATATATGCTGAAAAGGTACAACTTCCTCAAGTTTTG